GTGTGCCTCGGTTGGCCTGTTCCAACTGTGCCGGGAGGGGAAGGGGAGAGACAAACTCCGAGCTAGACTCGCCAAAAAAAAACGCCCTGCTCATTGGCCCTGGGTGTAGGGGAATCCTTTCGCTCGCTCACACGGCCTCCAACGCCAATAGCATGGCTTTTCCAGAAGGGGCAGCGGCTCCCAGCCCTTTGGAGGTAACTACAGAAACATCATAGGGAAGAGATCCTTAGGTCTTATTTTAGCAAAATCCAATTCAGAGTTCTAAACTGCAGGCGGTCCTCTGGTTTCCTGCTTTGACCAAGTGTCTAATTTCCAGCAACCAAAGCTGTGGACGTCTCTCCCTCTTCCAAAGGATATGTAGTTCTTCCACTACATACATATTTCTCCTTTGGATGGGCCGGGGAACCAGATGCTTGCAATTGTCAGCTCCATTTAAGTTAAAGAGGAGACACAAGAAAGTTCCCACTATAAGCACATTTAGGCAAGTCAGTGGTTGTGTACACAGATTTAATTTGTATACAGGTGTGTGTAAGAGTATTTAGGTTTAGGACCCCAAAGGTGCAGTTCCACAACTTGATTCAACAAGTTTCTGTTGCATTCTTGCTGCTGAAGTCAATAGTCTTACATCAGTGTTAAGCGTTTTTCGGACTAGCTCCTCTCACTGGATTACTAGCAACCCTAGGAACCAAATTGGAATGTCTTTCTCATGTTGTAGGTCACCCAGTTTTGTCAGTGCTTTGGGACCCTAGAACTACCATATATATTGTTGATGCAAGATCTCAGTATTGCGCACAGGGTGATATAAAAGTGTTTCTTAGCATGTGCAGACTGCATTTCCCACTTCATCAGTTCCCAGTTCATCAGGGGAGCAGGCCAGCGTCCACCATCAGTTTGGAGACATTTGGGTTGAAAGGATTTTCTGGTCAGGGGTGCAATGTCTTTGTAGGATTGATCTCTCATTCCTGGAATCAGCTCTAGGATCCGGTGTTTAAAAAATACTTTTACATGCAATCCAATTTTGCAGTTTACATGAAAAACATCTTCCATCCTATCCATAGAAACACAGGAAAATCAGTCCATTGGTTCATCTAGTTTGATATGCCTACACTACACTGACTGACAGCAGGTTGTCAGAGTTTCAGACAGGGTCCCTCCCCCCCCCCCGGGTCAATCTGGAGTTGTTGGGAAATTTAACCTGGTACCTTTTGCATGCAAAATATGAGGTTGTATCACTGAGCTATGCCCCTTTCCATTCAGCTCAGCGGGATTTACTCCTAGGTAAACGTGCATTAAGTCTGGAACACATCACTTCTGAAGATTGTGAAAGTGGGATGGAAAGTGAAAGAGAACCAGTTTTAAATCAAAATTTATATTCTAGCCAGTGTGAGGTTTCACATCCGAATTAAGGGCATGAGGAATGGAAATGCGTGACCCGCCCACCATGCACAGATCACTGTGCAGTGCTGATTTATTTCACAAAGTTCCATCAGTTTACTTATTCTATAATTCTGGGGCTACAAAAGGGCTTCCAGTTAAATAACTTGAATATTCTGGAGGACATTCATCTTGTTTATAAAATCTTAAGCGGGGAGGCTGATCCTTTTGTCTGAGACTCTGTTTGACTTCGAGAGAATCATACCCTTGTTAGTGAAACCAGGATAATGGCCACTTCCTGAGTCCATATTCATAGCCACTAACCCAGATGAAATCTGCACCTCACTCATAAATATGCACAGGGAGGAAAATACATTATCTGTCCCCTTCCTTCTCATATATCACAGGCTGGTTACAGGGTCTTAACGGAAGCCTCACTGGGGTTAAGCAATCTTGATTTATATGCCTGCAACCCTGAAGAGGTTCACAACTTGGCTGTAGAAAGCCTCAATGGATGCAGAGGCTCCATTCTCAAAAGAGCTCTCATGAACAAAGGGGCAGGCAGGGGAGGGGAGTCTTCCATTTTCCTTAAGAATTTAGGGCCACATTTTAGCTAGGAGTGTTCAGGGTAAACGGCCACCTTTTAGTTGAAAACTTTGGGCTGGCTTCCAGCAAAGCCTTCCCTGTTATAGACATCTCAGAGTAGCTGGCTTGGATGAGAACTTTGTGGGGCTTGGCCTAGTCTTGAGAATAACTATTATTATTACTATCGTTTATTATGATGGGCAGAACACAACCAACTGGTAGGGGTGCCATTAAAGGGAGGGACAAACACAACACACAGAGAGAAAGATCCATGTTTCAGACTGCAAGCAATTAAAAATGCTGCTTTTGACCTTCATAGCTTAGGGCCAAGGTACTATCTTATGCACCTACTGATATATTAAAGCCTTCAGCGGTGGGTCTTTGTGGTGCCTCCACTATCAGAGGTGAGTGACTACCAGAGAGAGGGTCTTCTGAGTGGTGGCTCCCCAGATGTGGAATTCTTTCCCCAGAAACATTCACCTGGTAAAGAGCCATACCTGGCAAGCTTTTTGGTGCCAGGCAAAGAGCTTTTTATTTCCACAAACCTGCAGACTGATTTATGCTACTTTTGAGTATTTTTACTTTTGCTTGCCTATTTTAAATTGTTTTATTCCTTTTTTGTTTCTTTTTTTGTAAGCCACCAGAATAAGATTGCCCAGCGGTATGAAAATTTCCAAAACAAACAAAGTGAAATTATATTCACAGGTGCTTATGTCTGCAAAACATAGGCCAAAGGAACAAATTTCCTTGCTTTGAAAAAAGTGGATGATCATCTTGGGTTGATAACATTACACTATAGCGATCCTGAGGTGTAAAAATATAACTCTTAAAATAGGCTGCATTTTTGCATTTGCAATTTTGAACATGTTGAAGGGCAGGGTTTGACTTTGCCAAAATATCTTGTTCTGCATCCTCTTCCTGCAGGAAGGGCGAGATGGCAGACTCAGGCAACAGAATTGGGGAAAGGAGCAACACGCTGTTATGTATTTAGATTATTATTAGTGGGCACCATCACTGAGTTTGTGTGCCACACCCTCGAGCGGTTCTGGACCATTCCTGCTTCCCTAAAATAAATGAATGGATAGCCCTGCCAGCCTCACACTCCAACTCTATATATGCTCACTTGGAACTTAGGTTCATTCACAATGAAAGGCCAAACTTTATTTTCTGAGTTGCCAAAGCAGGACTAACCTCTTCCTGCTCTTCAGAGCAACTTCAGGCCTTTCTAAACAAGCTGAGACCCTGGATCTTTCCATAAAGGTTCTGTACTCCTGTGCATGTCTGCTCGAGAAGAAGCCCCATTGAGTTCAGTGAAACCTACTCCCAAGTAAGTAAGCGAAGGTATGCAGACTTAAACCATCTTTTAGCTTTGCTTCTCCTGTGCTATTTGTGTGCCTGTACAAAGTACAGTGGTACCTCTGGTTACGTACTAAATTCGTTCCGAAGGTCCGTTCTTAACCTGAAACTGTTCTTAACCTGAAGCACCACTTTAGCTAATGGGGCCTCCTGCTGCCGCCGCGCCGCAGGAGCACAATTTCTGTTCTCATCCTGAAGCAAAGTTCTTAACCCGAGGTACTATTTCTGGGTTAGCGGAGTCTGTAACCTGAAGCCTATGTAACCTGAAGCATATTTAACCCGAGGTACCACTTTATTGACCTTTACATTTACAAGCAACTGCATCAAATCTGGCTGGAAGCACTGCAAAAAGAGCAGTTCACATTCACATTTCAACCACTTTTGGCCACTTGCTTGTGTTTTCCATTTGGAAGCCCTGTATGATTGTCACAGAGCTGCACACTTTCTCCATATGGCCTTGCACACTAGCTGGAAGAACCAATGGCAGCAACCTTTACAGCATGGCAAGTTTCACTTGTGAACTGCAGTTGTGCAACGCAGAAGCTGAGGTGCCATCAGAGTAATGGGTGCAATTTACAAGTCATTTCTGCAAATGCCCTTTCCTTCAGCAGCTATTTGCAGATCCCTGCAATTTTAGTTGTTTTCTACTACCGGTGCACCCCCTGCCAAAAGTGGGGTGCTGGGTACCCCAACCACATTTAGGTATTCAAATTTGATTTAAAGAACCAAGTGGAGGGGGGGCTACCGTTTTTTAATGGCTCCTGTGTCTTTAACAGCTGCAAAACACACAGATATTCAACAGAGGAAGCTTTTTTCAGCAGGCCAATACAGACTTGGGAGAATAATCTACTGCAATCTAGCTCAGGCTCTCTGAAATCCCTACATGGATTGTGTTGCTGTGTGACTCAGTTCCATAGAGGAAGCTTCTGAACCAGTGCACCACACTGACAGACAATACTTCCTGAGAGCAAATCGCTTAAGACACTGTGGCTTTAAGAAAAAATACGAATGGTGCAATAGAAGCATCACCTGTTGTACCAGATAGTTAAGAGACTGAAGCTGTTATCAGTGGGTAAAGCTTTTTCCAGCATCTGAAGTGAGACTGCATCTCTGCTTATCACTACAGCTGTGAAAGCCCTGGTAGAAAAGTTGCTAGCCCTGAAATTATTACCCGTCCCTTTCTGGCCTGGAAATGTTTCCTTCCGTAGCAAAGCAATGCCTTTGCAATCTTGCTCCAGAAAAGCATTTTTATTATATATTTTTAGACCTACCAAACGCCACTTAACATGCAGATTACAACTGTGCCTGGGATGCAATCCACTTCCCACTGAAGTCAATCGTGAAACTCCCCTAAATGATAAATAAATCAGTATCTCAGCCTGACTTGGAAATACGTGCCACTGAAAATAAGTGGGAGTTGCTTCTGAATTGTTGCCTATTCAAACCAGTCCAGGAGTGGAAATAGTATTCTAGTTTTTGTAACTGACTTCTGTTATGGGGTAGTGCCCTTTACTAAGTCAAGTATGGTTCTGCTTGTGTAGAATACATACATAGAAACTGACCAGATTTTTAAAAACTCTTAATAAAACAATAAGTGAAGAATATACTAGTTCCAAACAAGAGGACAGAGAGAGAGAGACAAAACTTCAAGGAAGTTGTTATACCACCACACCCAAAGGCTGAAATTGTCCAGAGGAGAAGCTTGTTAAATAATTTATTGATTTATACAAAGTCTTTCCAACTGTAAGAGTTTGGAGCCAACCGAAAATCAAGTAATGCAGTTCTTTCTCCCTTATTCTCTTTAGAAAAGAAAAAAAGAAATTCAAAGGAAAGGGAAGATAAACGAAAGCATCCAAACCCCAAAACAAAAGAGGCGAGAAAACCGCTTTTTTTTTTTTACACTAGAAATATACATCACAAAAAAATCTGCAATTTCCTATATACAAAGCGGCTGAGTTGGAATCGGGGACCCATATACAAAACAGTAACAAAATCTTGATTGTTAGGAGCAGGAGAGCTACCACAGAAGGGGGAGAAGGGGGTTGCTGTGGGTGGCAAGTATTAACAACAACAAAAAGGCAGCCGTCCTGAGTACAAATAATTCCACCCCATCAGAAGCTCATTTATTTCCCAGTCAGTTCCTCTGATTTAAAATGAAACTGCATTTCCAAGTGTGCGTAGGATAGGGATGTGACTAGGAACTAAGCTCCATTGAAAACTAAGGCTGCCACCCTAAGCATGGTTACTACAGAATGAATCCCACTCAACTCAATGGAACCTACTTTAAAGGAAATATGCCTGTTCTTCATGCACAGCTCCACCCAATCTTAGCCATTTTTACTCAGAAGTAAGCCCCCGGGGGGATGACTGTCAAGAAAGCTGCATCAGGAGATAACCCAATCCTAAGCACTTTAGCAGCACAATCCTAAACACATTAACTCCAAAATAACAGTGCAATCCCATACAAGTTGCTCAGAACTAGCTCCTATTCAGGGGCCCTTACTCCAGAGTCAGTTTGCATAAAATTGCATGCTACCTTTACAGCAGGATCCTGAGGAGTAAAGTCCTATTGAGTTCAATGGGGCTTCCTCCCTAGTATGTGTGCGCTTAGGCTTGCCGTTGAAGAGAATCGCTCCGCATAACAACGTTTACTCAAAAGTAAGCCCTACTGAGTTCAATGGGACTTACCTCCTAGTAAGCAGGCTGAGGGTCGCAGCTGAACTGAGCAGCAAAGTCTTTTTCTATTTGGATGGAGCTACATTTTCCAGGGGCGCCTGCTTTTAAGGTCAGATGATTTGGCTGCCCCTTCCCCAAAGTCCATTTGCTCTCAGCAGTTTCCATTTTTACGCTAATCGGAATAGGGGTCGGTTGGGCATCATGGCGGCTGTTTTGTTTCCAAATGTTGAATGGGGGTAAAAGAGGGGGGTGGGGGGACTGGCTGGGTCGGAAATGGAAAATAAACCAGGGTCGAGTTACCCATAAAAGTTGGAAAGCTTTTCTTGCGGTTTTTGTGTGTGTGTGTTTGGTTTCCTTCCTTCCTGTGCGAGCGACGCGGCTGTGCGTTTGGCGAGTGCGCCCCGTCGGAGAGCAAAGGGGCGCTGCTCCTTGGTTCCCATAACTTAATTCTGTCCGAAATATATATACACACACGCTATTCCCCCCCATACGTGGCGGGCTGTACAAGACGTCGCGGCGGCCAGTCCCGAGGCTGGCTGGGGCTGGCGGCGTCGGCGGCTACCCTGCTTGGCCGGAGAGAACGGGAGGGTCGGGCAGGCGAGAGGGGGCGGCGGGGCGGGCGAGGGCGAGGCAAGGCACGGCCGCAGTCACGACGGCTCCGAGGAGTTGCTGCAGGGGCTGAGCAGGGCCAGCGGGCCCGACGACACCGCGGCGGCGGCTGCAGCGGCCGCCTTGTGCTTCTTGAGGAGCCGCGTGATCTTCTCGTCGTCCGAGTTGGGGTCGAGAGGCTTGTTGTACTCGTCGTCGTCCTCGTTCTCCGAGCTCTCCTTCAGCTTCTCCGTCTCCGAGTCGTGCTTCTTCTTGGCCGACGCCATCTCGGCCGCATGCCGCTTCCGCCACTTCGTCCTCCGGTTCTGGAACCACACCTGCCACGCGGAGCCGGAGAGAGGGAGAGAAAGAGACAGAAAGAGGGGAAGACAAAAACACACGCACATCTTTGGTCACGCGTCTCTCCAGGGCGCAAGGCACAAAGGTTTAAAACAACAACAACCCAACCCCGATCCGCAAGAGAAACAATCGGGGTGATTACCACGCGCTGGTACCCTATCGAGAAGCAGTGCGGCGCAGTGGTTAGAGTATCGGACTAGGACCTGAGAGACCAGACATTAAATTCACTGGGCGAGTTTGGGCCAGTCACTGCCTCGCAGGATTGTTGTGGGGATTGAATGAAGAGGGGGAGAAGCATAGGCATGGCTGTCAACTTTTCCCTTTTCTTGCGAGGAATCCTATTCGGAATAAGGGAATTTCCCTTTAAAAAGGGAAACGTTGACAGCTATGTGCATAAGGGCAGGGGCTTGGGACTCCTTAGAGAAAAAGGTGGAATATAAACGCCATCAAATAAATCTTCAGAATGCACAGGCCCTGGTCCCCACTTGGGCCATGCTGATGCTCAAAGAGTAACTGCCCTTGGCTTATACAGAACAGGGTGAATCCTTTGAGTTTATATACAGTAGTCACTTAACTCGAATTACAAACCCCACTTTAACCTGAAACCTTGGCTGTGAGTTCTGTGGGTGGCAGAAAGGAATTGCGATTTCGGGGAGGGAGGGGGGAAGAGAAACATAATTAAGGCTTCAATCCTATGGAATCTGGGAAACCCAAGATTCAGATCCCCTACTTGACCATCCTAATCTCATCCTAATCTACACCACAAAAATATCTTGAGGATAAAATAGGGGGAGCATATAGGCCACCTCGGGCTTGTTGGGAGGAAAAGTGAGATATAAATGTAATAATAATACTAATAATAACCTTTGAAGTAAGTGAGACTTCTAAATAATCATGGTTGGGCAAAGCAGGAAGGGTTACTGGGAAGTCACTCCTTGGCTATAAATCAGTTGCTCAGCAGCAGAACTTTACAAAAAGGAAGTCCTAAAGTTTCATGTAAACTACTCGTCAAAATAATGTGAGTGTACACAAGATATTTTCATTGAAATGGAGCTTCCTCCCACCTTCATGTGTTTGGGATGAAATTCTGCAAAGCCTACCATCTCATCACCTTCTTATTTAGAATGTACTCCTGAACAAAATGAACCAAACGTGTTGTGAGAGTAAACACATTGGAACAGGGAAGAATTACTAACGAAGTACTTGCTAAGGAAGCCAAACCATGTCTACTTGGAAGTAAACCCCGTCACTCCCAGATGACTTTTCACAGGGATGTTGCCTCATTAGGTGCTTACTTCCAGGAAACCTGGAGGGCAACTCCTTGACCACCCAGATGTCCCATTCACTCCTAAAATCTTAGAATCCCAACCCACTTGCATTGGGGAAGGGAAGAGCATGGTGGCCCCATCTGTCGGCCAGAAGAGGAGCAGCTGCAGGGAGCGGGGTTTCCTTTCTCCCTGCCAGAAAGGACTGTACAAACTTGGGAACTCGGAACTAGTGCTGAAGCTTGCTTTTCCCCTACTCCCACTCAGTCTTATTTTCCTTTTCCATCATGGCCTTTTCGATAGCCTATGGGTTGCAATCCACTTAGTACTGATTTGGGTTGGGGGTTTGTTTGCTTTTTTGGTGGAATAGAGGGTAAAAAATCCTGTAAATAAATATTGGCTGAATGTAGGCAATTTCGTTAGACTCTGTTCTGGCTTGGCCAAAGGAAGGCACACGCAGGCATCTATACCCATCCTATATTCTTTATCTGCATGCAGCTCAACGCCCCCCACCAAGCTCACGATCCACATCTGCAAACCAGGGCACACACACCACCTTGGTAGCTAACCATTCCCAAAGACACAGATCTCCGGAATCCTCATCCGCATCTTATGCTATCCCATCACTTTGCATCCTATTGGATCCCTGCCCCAAAAGCATCCCCAGTCCTAATTCACACCCCTGGATTTTTCAGCCCAGACCTCAACTTCAGCGGCAGGTGGCTTTCAAGCAGGTTCTCTTTAAGTCATGCTCTGAGCTAAGTTAATGCTCAATGTCCTTTAATGGCTGCCTCCTCCCTGCTTATCTAGAAGCAAACCCCACTGAACTCAATGGGACACTGCTTAGTACAGAGGATTGTGCTGTTAGGGCAGCTGATTTCATTCCCTTCGTACATACTAGGATGTAAATGACACCAAACACCCAAAAGGCTTACTTTCATGTAAGCCAAATCAAGCTTTAACAAGGAAGGTGTGACATTCTCCTGAATCTCTTGAATCCAGAAATTTCTGAGTGGCATTTAAATCTAGCCACTTTTGCATGAAAAAGAGAGAAAATATTACTTGTGGGAAAGTAGATCAAATCCTGCAAAACCCACTGAAGAGTAAATGTGCATCATGTTCCAGCTTCAACTGTACAGAAATATGGTATAGAAAGCCAATTTTTAGGCCTCATAAAAGTACTGGGGGTCTTGACAGGAGACATTTGTCTGGTTATATTGAGGTTTTATTACTGGCCTTCGAGAACAGTAGGAAAACCAGCATCAGGATTTTATTTCATGGGAAATAAAGTGCTGACAAATGAACCGCTCAAATAAGACACTGGGACCCCATTGAAAGCTATGATGGGAACTCAGATGGCAATTCTAACAGAGTAAGATCCACTGAATGCAATGCACTTTTAAAAACTGAAATTGCCTCTCAATCCAAATGCAGAATTCCTTGTGATGAAATCAGAAAATTATCTGCTGATAATCTTTTTTTAAAAAATCCCACGTTTTCCATAAACTTATAAGATCATGAGTATGTAAGCCTCCCCCTCCATTGACCAAAGAATGATCTACCCCATGTTAAACAATTTTGCAGTGCAGTCCTACACGTGTCTACTCAGAAGTAAGCCAGGCTGAGTTCACTGTTTCTCATTCAAAAGTCACTGTATTATGATCAAATCAGATTTCAACTAATGATGAGGAAAGTGGCAGTGTGCATGTGTTAAAGAGCAAGAAATGCCTTGGCTACAAATATTGTTTCAACTCTACATTAAAAACAACTTATGCTTTTAAAGCGTATTGCCTTTTTAAAGGCGGGGAAAACAACAAGACGGCAGAAAACACCCCCCTCCCCAATCCCTTGCAAACACATTTTATAATCCATCCACAACCTTAATAAATTAATTTTCGGTGCAACCTTCCTTATACATTCTTTCTAGGAAGGAAACGGATTGAATAGTGGCATTTCCTCCCATATTTGGGATCAGCTTGCTCATCTCTCTGACCTTCGGAATAACTCCAGAAGATCCCTTAAAGAGGATGCAGATCGGCTGATGCCAGTTTATTTGTAAGCGAACCTGCTTAGGGCTGAGGAGCCACAAGGTTTAAATTCAGTGTCTTTGGGCTTATCTTAATTATGACTTTTAAAAATAATTAGAATTATTAAGATTTTTATTTTGGTAGAGGGAAAACACTAAGTCTAGCAGATACAGTAAACAGCAAAGCTGTGTGACATCTTGCGGTTAGAAAAAATGAAACAAGCTTTAGCGGGCTCCACAAGGCTAATAGCCACGGGCTGTTTCTTAGCACTTCAGTTCTTAAGCCCACATATTCTGAACTCATTTATTTACCTCCAAGAGAAGGCGCATAGAGGCACAGCCACTTTGCTGGGGAGTGAAGCCCCACTGAACTGGGAGAAATTTACTTCTAAGTAAACTTGCCGCAGACTGGGAGTGCTAGTCCCTCTGAAACCAGCTCCCCTTCGGTGCCAGCACTCTTCCCAGTGCAACCTTATAAGAACCTACTCAGAAGTAAGCCTACCCACTTTGAGTTCTGAGGGACTTATTCTGAGGGGAAAGAGTTGAATACAGTACAGGACTGTTTGTTTGTATTCCTGCTTGCCTGGGAGTAAAAGTGCCAAGGGAAAAGGGTCACACTTCTGAGCAGACATGCTTAACATTGCACAGCAAATATGATTTTTTGCCACCGGAGCCTCGGGCGCCCGAGATGCTGCTGACAGTCGAGGAGACCGGCAACGGAGGGCTCCTTACCTTGACTTGACTCTCCGTCATTCCCAGCGAGTAAGCGAGGCGGGCTCTCTCGGGTCCTGCCAAGTACTTGGTTTGCTCGAAGGTTTTCTCCAAAGCGAAGATTTGCTGCCCTGAGAAAGTCGGCCGCGAGTGTTTCTTCTTGCCGTCCTTGTCCAAAACCATCCCAGCCTGGGCTGGAGAGAGGGACGAGGGAGCGGAGAGAGAGAAAGAGCCCCGTCAAGCGCCGAGGAAAGACAACAACTCCTGGACCCCAAAGCCTTTTGTGCGCGCCGGGCAGAAACTTCCTCGGCGGATCTCACGCGGACTAGCAACCTGAAATGCCGTCGCAAATCCAACCCGCCCTTTCCCGAGAGCAGCCGCAGAGCTCGGGCCCAGCAGGAAAACTTTGCCACCAGTTAGCCTGCAGGAGATGCAACGTCAAGGGAGAGTTTAAAACAAAACAAAAACCAGCGGCTCGTTGTGGAGGCGCGATCGGGGCCGCGCAAGACCCTCGAGCTGCTCCATCAGTTTCCCGAAGGCGACCTGGCTAGTTTCAGCCGGCCTTCAGGAAACCGATCCTTGCCGCTTTCATTTCCAGACATCAAAACAGCAGCCAACTGGAAGCGTCCTTTTTTGAGGTTGCAGATCACGGCGCTGGCTCACTCTCTTTCAAAGGGCCACCCCCTCTCCCTAAGCAAAATGCGCTGCCTCTTTATCTGGGACCCGAGCCCTGGAGCCGCCGCTCGGACAGAAAAGAAGGACCCCCCCCAGCACACCTCACCCTGCCCATCCGCCTAGGGCGCACCAAACCAATCCATCTGGATCTGTTTGCTCGCCTTGTTTTCTGGGAATGCGCCCTGGCACCTGTTGCCTGCGCCCAGAGCCCAGCCGTGCAACTTGCGAAGCGATAGAGAGAAAAGAGGAGCCACAGAGCATGTGCAGAGTGCTGTTTCACCCGGTCTCTCCTAATGAGCGCAGGGCTTGTTGGGACGGGCACTGGCACCTCTAATTTTGACTGGGGAAGTTTAACAGGAATCTCCTTTTTTTGCAGAGATCCTCCCCTCCCCCTCCTGCCGCCCAGCCCCGGCTCCTCGCCCCCCCCCCCCGCCTTCTTACCGGGACAGGCGAGCCGGGGGTCCCTCCAGGGCGCCCCCTGCATGACTCCGGGCCAGAAGATGGGCGGCCTGCCGGGCAGCTCGGCCAGGGGCTTCGGGTAGCGGGACACGGCCGCCGGGTTGAAGTACATCCCGGCCGCGGCGGCCCCGGCCAGCCCGTTGAGGCGAGGCAGGCCCGTGAGGAGGCTGCTGGCGGCGGCGGCCACGGGCCTGCCCAGGATGTCGCTGATGCCGTGCGGGGTCCCCAGCGGAATCTGCGCGTTGAGTCCGCCCAGCGAGGGCGCCTTGAAGCCGGCCGGGCTCTGCAGGGCGTAGGGGAAGAGCGACGTCTTCATCTCGGCCATGTTGTGCAGCGCCGCCAGCGGGGCGCTGCTCAGCACGAAGGCGCCCGGCGGGCGGTTAGCCTCCATCTGCCCCACGGCTAACATTGGCGGGCATCAAGGGGCGGGCGAGGCCGAGCGGGAGCGGGGAAGGCGGCCCCGAGGGCCGGGCAGGAGTCCGCCGCCGCCGGCTCGCCGACTCCCAGGGAGCCACAGAAACCAGACTTCGCCTTCTCCTCCTCCTCCGTTCCTGTTTTTGGCGGGAATGCGCTCGCAAGGCCGCTGCAAAGTTTTGCTCCGGTTCTCCTAAGCGCCGGCGGGAGCGCTCGGCGGCCGCGGGTCCTTCGCTGGAGGGCGGCTTCAGCCGCAGCAACTCCCGGCGGGAAGTTCTCCGGCCGAGAAGGGGAGGGAGACGGAAGGCGGGTCGGCCGCAAAGCCTCGGTGGGAAAACCAGCCACGACAACGCCAATCTCGGCGGCTCAGTTTTCTTCTTTGCAAGCTTTTAATTTTAGGAAATAACTTTTTTTGGGGTGGGGGGAATTCTCCCAAATTTGGAAGTCCTCTCGAAGATCGGGAATTGGTGCTGGAGTATATATATGTATATATTTATATTTTCCTCTTTTTTTTCTTCTCCCCCCCCTTCCAAAAAAATCAAATAAATGCTTTTTTATTTCGTTCTTCCCATAGCGAGGAGTTATCCCTCCCGGTGAAATGGACTCGAGCGCTTGGAGTCCCGGAGTCGGGACAAGATGCGCTGATAACCTCGCAGGCACCTGCCAGCCGAGCTCTCGGATTGGTCGCGCTCTCTTCCGAGGCCTTTGCTATTGGCCAATGGACGGGCATCCCGGTCTCCCCGCTTTGCATGCGCGTCATGGAAGTGTGTGCTGGAAGGGGCGGGGCGGGGGGAGGAGGGCGCGCGGCGGAGAGAGATCAGAAGATTGCGGGGGAGAAAAAGAGCAACATTAAATGAAGGTTCTATTATAAAGTCAAGGTACTTTAAATGGCTGTAAATTTGCCCGCTGATTTATCTTTCCGACGACTAAATAAATCCCGTTGAATGGGAGTTTAGTTAGGCTTAAGGGTTCCCCCCCCTTCCTCGTTTCCTTTATAAGGAATCGGCAATATATATATATATAAAGGTACATATTTCATGTTCTCGTAATCGTGCAGATCCGCAAGAACTTGTTTTGTTTTTTTTTAATCGACCAGCCAAAGTCATTTTCACAATGGAACTATCCCTCGCCTTTTTTTGATTGTCTAACATTGCGTAAAAAACACAAACCAGCAGGGCTTTTTACAGTAAACCAACCGAATCTAAACGGAAGAGGAGCTGAAGAGAGATTGAATTTGCCGTTTGCTGAGCTTTACTTATCCCTCAAGAATTGCCCGCCCTATCTGTTTTCTCACCCGGGAGCTCAATAAATAAGCGTGGAATAAGCCGCAGGGAAGGCTCTTTAGGCGTGTGGCCCGCGAGTCTTTTAGCTCTATTAAGATCCGCGGCGTAGATGATTATCTGTGCGTGACTCTCGCCTCCTTTTATTGCCTGAACTCGCTTCTGATATGTATCAATCTTATCTAGCAAAAGGCCTTTAAAAGAAGACCTTTTGTCCTTATTGATCACATCGTGGACTCTTGTCACCGACCTGTCTCCCCCCCCACCTCCCCCTTCTCTCTTTCCGACTTTACAGTTGCTTTTTTAAGGCGACCGAGAGGTTGGCAAGGTGGTTTTGAAACTGGCCCCTGACCAACACTCAGCTCGCCCGAGCCTTTGATTTGACGGGCATAAATGACCTCCTTCTGCACCTGCCTAGGATTCGTGCCTTCCTCGGCTATTCCTTATTTTTTAACATTTGAAAGGCGAAGATCAAGAAAACCTTCCGAACATCATTCATGATAGTAGTCAGCCGCCAATCCTACGAGGTACCTGAAACGCTGGCAAGGTTGACACAAAATTTATGTTGAGTTTTCAAAAAATTAAATGGGGATTTTTCTTATTTAAAAGGAGGAAGAAATGGCTCCATATGTCAATTCTAAACGCGCTCTACCGGGCTTTCAGAATTTCAGCTCCAATATGTATTGCTACTTTTCTTCTTCTTCTTTCTAATGATAACATCCATTCCTGAAAGTAAGTCTGACACAAATAAGTTGCAACTCATTTAAAGGGAATTTATTCAGGATTAGAATGCTGTCTACTGCTTCTCAGTGATAATTTTCCTTTTTAATCGAAGTGTGGTATAATAATGTTGGGAAATGTTTCTGATGAAGCTTGCTTATTAAATTCGTGTTTTTATCTGTCAAAATAGTACCCTATTATTTTGAAGCCTGGCAAATGACTCTTAAGGGGAATCCAGAGTGATTCTTATGGTGAAAGGATCCTTCTCAGAAAGAAAGGGAAAAGCTGAACCCGTGTGATTGTGCGTCAAAACCTGTTTTCAGACGACCACGAAGTAAATCCTGATTTGTTGGCCCTGCGATAGTTCTCCATTCTATGCACGCAACTAACCTGTGTAAAATGCTACGTGAACTGCCGCTCTTCGGATGCGTGTTTGCAGGTTTCTCCCGCTGCAAATGCAAGACGCGCATCTTAACAGGAAAGGCTTAGCTGCACGATGGCGTGTGTGCCATGTAATTTGCACTCATGCCCATAGTGGAGTTTACTTCCAAGTTGCGTATCCAGGATTGTGGTGTCTCCTGACAATCATTTACAGTACTTGGAAACAAATCTTGGATTCTGCCCCAGTATCCTTTTCTTACAACTGTAGCCCCAGAAGCATTAATTAAAATATTTTATTTGGATTTAAAACAAACACAAACAAAAAAAAACCCCATTCTCCCCAAGCGCAATTAACCGTTACATCTGCAGTTCCAAAAGGGTGGGTTTTGTCTTTAAAAGCAAGGAAACACGTACACCTCCCCTCACTCAGACATAGAAGAGAGTCTGTGTGCCCGCTGGGAATTAACAGCATCAATGGAGACGCAGGCCTTCTGTGCAGATCCGATCGCGAAAGTTGCCTTTTGATCTGCTGCTCAAGTCTGCTGCTCTCCAGATCGCCCGTTTCCTAGTCTTCACCTCTCGCCCAACACAACCACATCTGGAGGGGCAGAAAAATCCCAGGGCATTGCTTGTCCAGCCTCCTCGGACTTCTCTCCCGGTTCTGGTATTCTGGGATGCTCGCTGCCCAGTCGAAGCGCAGCTCCGTCGAGGGTCCTCGACGGCAGCTCCTGGCCTCTTCGATACTGCGGTCCGAAGGGAACTTCGGGTCGGGAGCTGGAAACCTATCGATTTCAGGGGGACTCCTCCACACCATCACATCAATCGGATAGGGAATTAGACGGAGATGGTTAGGTGAATAGGCCAACTCTGAAAAGCCATTACAGTACTGGGATTTGCTTCGGAAGAGTAACTTCCATTCCACCGCCCACCTCACCAAAGTGGGCATTTGCAGCCCCAAATATTTGCCTTTCGGAGATCAGCTTTGCATTGTCCACGGTGGCTTGCTTTGTTCAATGTCCAAGTTCTCAGACTAATAATAACAGCAACATTTTATGGTTGTTGCTGTTGTTAAATAACGACATTTGTTGTTAAACAACAACATTTATTATAATTACTGATGATGAAGAAGAAACGTAATTCATATGACGTTTGCATGGTTTAAAGTACGGCTGTAAATTTGTATTGATTTTATTGTTTTGCCGTTCTGTAAACCGCTTTGAGGGTTGTTGGTTTATTTTACGAAATAAAACAAACAAATAAAATGATGATGATGATGATAACACATATTGAGGGCTTGGGAGAAATCTTGAGAAGGAAATGTGCCTTTCCCAAAGTTCATTCAAAAGTGCGTTTTCTACGGGTTGAGGTTCCTAACAGTTTCTTACGCTTGGCTTTAATAGAGTCTCTGTCGAGATCCGCTTTACCCTTCCCTTAAGAGGGACCGGCCGAAGTGAAAGGATCCCACGCCTCCTTTAGCCCTTTGGGATCAAATCCCGTCCAGGGACTTTTCTGGGACTTTTCTCTCGCAGAATAGAAAGCGTGGGGTGATCTCATTCCCCCACTTGCTGCTGGCCTGCTTCGAGGAGGTCCCGGGAGCTTGAGACAGTGGTGGCGAGAGAGAGAATATTACCATATTTTCAATGGAGCGATTGGCAGAGATAACGACAGGAAAAAGATGTATCTCCCCTCCCGCGTCTCCTCCTCCTCCCTCGCAGCCTCCGCTGTCCAGCCAGTAGGAAGCTGCGGGGGGTGGGATCTGGCTCTGCAAGACACGCCTACAAAACCTACAATTTCCCATCCCTCGGATCCAAGTGTCGCCCAAGTGTGAGATTCAAGGGACCAGATTCCAGCTGGCCTTGCATTGCCTTAAGGGAAATACTTCTGCCCAGGAAAAACATTCCTAGTGAACACAGCACAACTCTTATACATTTAAATCCCAGTGACTTCAGTTTCGGCTGGTTTGTGGATTGGGTTTAGATAAACTGTATGTGTCTTTTAACTATTTATGTGCTTCTTTTAATGCTAAAAATGCCCTCTATGTCACATCAGGTAAAAGAAATATAAGAACAACCAGCAGCAATCATAGTTTTAGTAGGTCTGTCAACTAGTTTAAACTCTTCAATAGTTCATCTTTTAGCAGATTAACCAATTAATCAATGACATTTATATACGATTAGCCATTGCATAATCCCAGTGAAGGTGCCTTTTAGAGGATATATTGAGACAAGGCGACAGGTTTTCCTTAAATGTCAAAACCATTACAATGTTGCCATGAGTTTGTGGGTGCTAGGCATCCCTTAAATTCCTGGGACCAATAGGTGCTGGAATTTAATTAAGTCTTGTGTACTAAAACTGTGTTAGACTCCCATGTGTTAGAATCTAATCAAGACCCCTGTGCATTATTTGGCTGTGCATGAGACACCTCTTTAACCCCATGGAATCAACATGTGTTAGAAGCTAATTGAATCAGGCTACTTCACCTTTTGAGGTGATGGCCTGCGGATGAGCCATTAAGGCCACACACAGGATCAAAGAACTAAGCATGAAAAGGCTATTGAATGGGCCCCTCCTTTGCTCTGCAGATAAAAGTCAGGGGTTTAGAATAAGAGAGAGTTAGAAGTCATATGGGCAGTAGCTTAGCATAGGGAATTGGGAGTTAAGCAATGGCATTAGTAAGCAGCAAGGTTTGAGAGCAATGGTCGGGGTCTGCTTAAGTCCAAGGCTGCTATGTGGCTATGGGAGAAGCAAGAACCTCTTGACGTATGAATGCTAGGCATCCCTCCATTGCATGCTTGGGTTGTATATATGTGTAAATAAGCCATATATCACAAAGGAACCACCATCTCCCCTGTGTCTCATTTTCCAGAAGGAAACATGAACCCTGGATATGGCTGCCTGGAACCTCACATTGCTCTGGAGAGTGGGGTGGTATAATATAGTATAGTAAATAGAAGCTACCATTTACTACATGGAGGTGTACCTAAGGGTTACCCAGCCCCCGCCCAAATCACCTGTCAGACAAATGGAGAGTATGACATACATGCCTGTAGCAACACACCACAGCTGTCCTTCTCTGCAGTAATGTGATTTTGGGGGGGAGGTGGGGGTGCGCTGATACATCTCCTTGTTAAGGCTGCAGTCACCCTATGTACTCCTCAGCTACTGCTAGAAGGCAAGGCAGGCTCTAAAGGTTTAGGTTTATTCTTCAATTCACACATCACTTCCCACAAAAAAGTCCAAAGGCGATTTACAAT